CCCCAAAACCCCAAAACCCCAAAACCCCAAAACCCCGTTAAGGAGGTAGAGAGGCGAATTTTTGGAAGGAGGAATTTTGGGTGAAGAGAAGGAAAGGGGTGTTGGAAAGGGGTTAAGGGAGGTTTTTAGGGTTTATTTTGAAGTGGAAGCCTTTTTTTGGGTCGTTGATGTATGTAGGGATTGGCCATAGGTACCATTTTGTTCCAAAAATTTCTTTGAGGTTGGATCATCAACCAAAGCTGAAAGGGGATTTTTGAGTTGATAGTGACTCAATTGTAGTTAGGTTGAATGGAAATAGGCATAGTTGATTGATAAGGACTCTTAACACCATCAGTAATATTGGTAATATCAAGATATGTAAAATTATCAACCAAACATAAATAAATTTCAAAAGCATCTGAATAGATATTGCTAAAAACAGGATAATTCAAGCAATATAATAAAATACATAGAGTAAGAAAGATTTTTGATTTCTATATCCCACACAGTTTGATATCCAGCCTCAATGATGATCCATTTTTAAAACTCATCTTTGTCAATGACCTCAGTGATGGCTTCTTGGAGGCTTTATTCAGTTTCAGAAATGTCAAAACTTGCTGTTTGTCAGTTTATTTATACATATCTTTATTTGAGTCCTCTCAAAGTCTCAGAATTCTCAGTAAAATCCGGCATTATCAAGAGAGGAGAATGAAACTGACTATTTGTAAAATAGCCTGGGTCCCTTGCAACCATTATTCAACTAAAGATAAATAGCATTGAAAACAAATGGAGTATCACAGAGATGCTCAAATTATAATATCCGTAATCTTGACTGATAATTCCATATTGATAAACTATACTTCCTGGTTCATTATAAACTTTGAATTCAAAATAATAGACCCAAAACACTACTTCAGCATTCACAAATATGATGAAAATGTAGTTCAAACTATAAGAGAGTATCAATAATAATTTTTGAAAACAGCTTCTTTCCTCTTTATTCCTATTAAAGGAAAAAGAATCTCATATCATATTTATTTAATTCTATATTCTTATAAAATCTAGGGGTTTTGGGGTTTTGGGGTTTTGGGGTTTTGGGG